TCTGGCATCAGTTTTACTTCGCTTTGATATGGTTAAAAATTCATATCTTCGGCTGTTTCCTTGTGTTATTTTTAAAAAACGATACGCTATGAAGCTATAGTAGCATCTTTTGACTTCGAGCTGTTTTAGCTATGATGAAAGATGACCATTGTACAAGATGAAACAAAGAAAGTTTAGCTAGACGCTTGTTCTCAAATTCAGCTGACGAAAAATTACAGATTTTCGGCATTTTGGGCTGAGTTTTATAAAGTTCGATTTTTTCAAGTTAGGTTTAAGTAACAACAATTTTAGAGGTCATGATAAGAAATAACAAACTTCCAACTACTCAAAAACACCTTGAATTCTTATTGTTTATATAACAATTGAAAACTATCAAGTTCACAAAGATTGATGCATGCATACCTGTGAAACATTCTTTGTTTAATTTTAGTTGTTCGCTTTCTATACAAATGAGTTGGATTGAATTTTGAAGAGAATTTGACGGCTTATCTGTTGAAAAAAAAAGTTTGGTTTGAAGGGTGTAAGAAAAAGGATTATAGTGAAAAGACTAAAACGACCATTATTTATAAGCATGATCTCTTAATTTAATAAAAATGAAAAAGAGAGGTTCTTTACACTGCTGAACAATATACATGATGATAGATGGATCGACCTTAGAATGATCTATCGAGTACACAGAACAAATGGTTATATAAATTAAGCTCATATGTAGATGACGAACAACTGAAGCTATCAATTGTCTCTTGCTATGTCTGAGCATACGACTTACCTATATCAGCTGACTATTTTCGATTACAGTGAAACAACATGCTGTCTTATTTATTGTGTACAACTGTATAATTTTGGTAAGCACTCATATTGTTATTTTCGTCGATAATATTTCATTAACCAGTAGCTTAAGAAGACTTGCGCATTGCTTCGTTGAAAAACTCTTGAAATCAGATATCAAGAAGGAAGATGTTAGAAAAGCCTTGACATATTCGAACAGCGAGTAAAAAAAATTAAACGTTCTACTGGACGACATTTATAGATGATTCCATACAACTTCCTCAAAGTGATAATAACATTTGAATGCAGTCTTGGCAAAAAATAAATCAAGTATGTTGTGTTAAAACTGTACTTTGATGATGGCTCACTGAGACAATGTTCTGATATTCAATTGCATTATAAGCATATTTCGCTTTGACAACATCGTTTCCAGAATCATCTGATATGAAGTCGATTCAGTATTTTTTTTCTTTGCAGGATGTACGCCACAATCACAAATCGACGATGGAAATCGAACATTCCTATTACCCATTAATAACTACCATAATCCACTAGCTATTTTTTTTTTCATATTTATACATAGTTAGCGTTTTTCCTATCATAAGTTAACCTATTTTCTCTATTCATTTGT